TTACCCTAAAAGGAGGACTACCCTCAAAGGGATATGACCCTAAAAGGGAAGTTACCCTGAAAGGAGGCTACCCTAAAAGGGAGGTGACCCTAAAAGGAGGGATACCATCAAAAGGAGGCTACCCTTAAGGGGAGGTGACCCTAAAAGGGAAGCTACCCTAAAAGGGAAATGACCGTAAAAGGGAAGCTACCCTAAAAGGAGGCTGCCCTAAAAGGGAAGTTACCCTGAAAGGAGGCTACCCTAAAAGGGAGGTGACCCTAAAAGGAGGGATACCATCAAAGGGAGGCTGCCCTTAAAGGGAGGTGAACCTAAAAGTAGGACTACCCTCAAAGGTAGGCTATCCTTAAAGGAATGTGACCCTAAATGGAGGAATACCCTTAAAGGGAGGTGACCCTAAAAGGGAAGCTACCCTAAAATGGAGGTGACCCTCGAAGGGAGGCTACCCTAAAAGGATGGTGACCCTAAAAGGGAGACTACCCTCAAAGGGAGGTGACCCTAAAGGGGAGGCTACCCTAAAAGGATGGTGACCCTAAAAGGGAGACTACCCTAAAAGGATGGTGACCCTAAAAGGGAAGCTACCCTAAAAGGGAGGTGACCCTAACAGGAGGGTTACCCTCAAAAGGAGGCTACCCTCAAAGGGAGGTGACCCTTAAAGGGAGGTGACCCTAAAAGGAGGGCTACCCTCAAAGGGAGGCTACCCTAAAAGGGAGGTGACCCTAAAAGGGAGGTGACCTTAAAAGGGAGTCTACCCTCAAAGGACGGCTGCCATAAAAGGGATGTTACCCTAAAAGGAGGACTACCCTCAAAGGGATATGACCCTAAAAGGGAAGTTACCCTGAAAGGAGGCTACCCTAAAAGGGAAGTGACCCTAAAAGGAGGGATACCATCAAAGGGAGGCTACCCTTAAAGGGAGGTGACCCTAAAAGGAGGGCTACCCTCAAAGGGAGGCTATCCTTAAAGGGAAGTGACCCTAAAAGGAGGGTGACCCTAAAAGGGAAGCTACCCTGAAAGGAGGGATACCATCAAAGGGAGGCTACACTCAAATGGAGACTACACTCAAAGGGAGGCTACCCTCAAATGGAGGTGACCCTCATAGGGAGATGACCCTCATAGGGAGATGACCCTTAAAGGGAGGTGACCCTAAAATGGAGACTACCCTCCAAGCTT